GGTGGACTACCACTCCCAGAATTCCTCAGCTAGCTGCTGGCTGGGGAATTCTGGGAGTGGAAGTCCACCTCTCTCTTTAAGTGACCGGTTGAGAAATAAGATAATCCTTGACTTAAGATCACAATGTGTGTTATGTATGTGTACACTTTGAGAGCAAGCAACTAAATTTCATTTTTAATGTGTACCATTGTGCCCACAGTAAAAAAAATGACAATAAAGGTTTATCTATCTATCTATCTATCTATCTATCTATCTATCTATCTATCTATCTATCTATCTATCTATCTATCTATCTATCTATCTACCTACCTATCTAACAACATCCATTCTTAGGAAGGTAAATACATTTTCAAATCAGGAAACACGAGCCATTTGCAGATTAATCAACACTGGTGGTGCTAGAAAATATTTTGCTAGAATTTTACTTCCAGCCTCCCAGTGATTAACTCAATCAGGCTGCAGGGAAAGACATGTTCCCTGTTAGTTTGATCAACTATTCATTGATTTTATATTGCCATAATTACTAAATGAATCTCTTTTCAGGGTTCACGTAAGGCTCACCCAAACGGCTGAGCTAAGCCACAGACAAACCAAGATCTAACTTGCCCCACTTCACCCTTTATACAAAACTATAGGGAAGTCCTTGACTTACAGCCAGTCATTTAGTGAAGTTACAACGGCACTGAAAAAAAAGGGACTTATGACCATTTTTCATACTTAACGACCGTTGCACCGTCCCCAGGGTCATGTGATCCAAAGCTGGCTGGGGAATTCTGGGAATTGAAGTCCGTTCATCTGAAAAGTTGTTGAGATTGAGAAACACTGATCTAAACTACCTTCAGGGGAAAGAGGGACATTAAAGCTATCCAGGAGCAGAGAAGCTGTCAACGTTTAGCCACGCTATTGAACGCAACGCTTGTTTGTGTGCTTTGAATAGTGGATACTAGAAAAGGAAGACATAGATGGGTTTCTTTGGTCAACAACTTTTGGAAACAGCATCCTGGATTGACCTGTAGGACGTCAGTTGTACCTTTCTGATCTTCATCTGCCAGGACAACTGCTTTTCTGCAAATAAAATAGAGTCTCCTTTGGCTGCATCTTCCTGAAGGTGGATACATCCTTTCCCCTAATCCCCAACAATGATTAATAACCTCAAGTCGGAGGTTAAACCAAGATGAGTTACCTATTGCTTCTTTGATCCTTAGTAACTCTTTTCCTTCTATGATTAACTCCCTCTGCTTTCTAATCACCCTCATCAAGTCAACACAAAATCTCACAAAATCCCAATTGTAGCTGGCTTCGTATTTATGGATTTCAGCTCCCATTATCCCCAGCCAGCCCTGGCAGAAAGGGGATTGTAGTTGATACTCCAACAGTCCAGATGTTTATATGGAGACTGTCAGTCACCCAGGTGACACTTGTCCCAAAGTGCTTTTTTTAAAGGCAACTGGACCTTGTTTTTCCTTGAAGACAGTCCAATGCAGTGAGACATGTGTAGATCTGTATACTGGAGAAACAAAACAACTACAAACCCATGGCACAACTTAGGAGAACAAACCCATCAGAACAAGATTCAGCAGTCCATCTGGTTTTGAAAGACAAAGGTCACTCTTTTGAAGACAGCAAAGTTCTGGGCAGAGAGGACCACTGGATTGAAAGAGGGGTCAAAGAGGCCATCTAGATTAAGGTTGAACACGTCTCTTAACAGAAGGGAGGGATACGACACCACCCATCTCCTGTCTACAACACGGCCCTCTCAGCAGTTCCAAGAAGGCTCCACACCCATTGGCACCACTCAGGTGACTCCAAAGTCATAGGTGAACCTCCAAGTGGCCTCAGTGACTCTCTAAAAGAAGGCAAATGATCAGCTGGAATATCAATCCTTCCATCCTCCGCCATCCAGTCAGAACTGAAGAAGCTTCTTGGATGAGAAGCGAAACGTCTTCAAGGAAAAACCAAGTCCAGTTGTCTTTTGAAAAAGCCCCTTTGGGTCTGCCTTATTAACTTGCTCTGATTGATGACGCTGCTTGGAGGGGGGGCAAAATGTCTCAAACCAACAAGAAAAAAACAGCGGGCACGGCTCAAACTTTTGACAACTAATCAGGAACTTTTCCCAAGACACGCATCATGCACTGCCACAAAGCCCATCAGACAGATTGGACGAAAACCCCCAACTTTCCCAATCTGTGTGCTGGGCGGAAAACACCAGGAATTTATGCCTGGTAATTGCTTTCAGCAAATGTTCAGCTTTGTCCTTGAGTGTCCGGCTCAAAATCAAAGCCTTGATCAAGTTTGGCGCTAGGGACCGTGCAGACAGACAAAACAGACAAGACCCAATCTCTGCAGCCTTCTTATCTTCTACCCATCCCTCTGACTCGTGGCACTTTGCCAGCCAGCTGCAAAACAAAGCAACGGAGAGATCACAATGGCAGAAGAACTAAACAGCACCTAAGCAAGGACAGAGTGAGGTTTCCTATGGAGGCAAAAGACTACGGACACCATGGAGGTCAAGATAACGCTAAGGCTGCATGCAGAGCGCCATAAACCATCTTGATCACTGACCTCCCTAAGAAAAAAAAGGGAGGAAAGAATGCATGACCATTTTTCCCTCGCCAAAATAGCCCAATGTGCTAGAAGGTCTAGTCAAAGCAATAACACAATGTTTTAATGGCATCAATAAGCTTGGTTGTGGCAGCAAGGGGGGAAGAGAGGCTGAACTGGCCCAGAATCAGAATAGTGCTGGAAGGGACCTTGGAGGTCTTCTAGTCCAACCCGCTGGCTCAAGCAGGACACCCTAAACCATTTCAGACAAATGACTGTCCAGTCTCTTCTTAAAAACCTCCAGTGATGAAGCACCCACAACATCTAGAGGCAAATGAATGATTGTTAAGTCAAGGACTGCCTGTATGTGAGTGTAGCCACGTGTTCTTTGCTCAGTGGTGCTGGTAAAGTTCCTTCCCCCCCGCCAGAGAGCTACTTTGAGATGGTGAATTGCATCTGAGGAAATGAGCTGCAGCGCCCCAAAACGTAGGCCTCTTAATAACACCCATTAATTAAAAACAGGCTATCAGGCCCCTCCTCATTTGGGGGCTCCCCAAAATTGACAGCCCCTTTCCCCCGCCAAACCAGTCAAATGGCACACAGAATATACATAATTCCGGTTTATTTCGCCTCTTGTACAAAACAGTTTCAGCAATTGATTTCCTTTTTTAAAAAATCCGCACGCAAGAATCTCACCGATCAGCCATAATCTGGTGCAGGAGAAGGAAACAAGAGAATAGCACCCCTGTTCCACACTCTTCCCCCCAGATATGCACTTTTGTTTCCGCCAAGGGGGGAAAAAAATACTACTTGGTGCCTCCCCCAACAAACCAAGTTTATGCCACAAAAGGGGAGGGGGCAAGTGGGGGGGGGAGGAACCTCTTCCTGCACCTCCTTAATAAACCACAGAGGTTCCCATCACCCCAACTTTGATTCCTGCAAAAAATTAAAGTGTCTTGTTTACTGTTGCCTGGGGAATTACAAAAGACGGAGAGCAACAGGCTACAAAAACCAGGCAAGGGCTTCGTATTTTGCATGTCTGAACCCCTCATTTTAGGGAGGTGCCTTAACGTTCATGGAGAGATGGTGCCAGAGGTTAGGCCGCTTCGAGCAGCTCAGTTTTAACTTCATGGACGTTGGCCAAAACAACACAAAAGAACCAACTCAGTTTGTCGCCAAGGTGGGAAAAGGAAAAAAAAAAAGGGGAGGGGGATTTTAGTGTCCTGGAAATGGAGTGCTTTTTTTAAAGAGGGGGGAAAAAACAAAAACCACAGCGCTGGAATGCAGGAAGAGAGAGTGGCATCCGAACCACTTGGAAAAAAATCATACAAATAATCAGAATTTTTTTGGCCAGCGTTCCTTCTGGTCCAGAATCGGAGGGAGAGGGGAATTCAGCATTTCTGGTCCGTCCAGCATATGGGAATTTGGTCAAGACAGCCCGGCTAAGCAGGATGGGCTTTCCTTTTTAGCTCTCTTGACTTTTAGCAGCCCGAGGAGACGCGTCCGTGTCTCGGATAGTCCGTTTCTGCGGAGAGGAAATGGCTCAGGGTGGGCCGTGCGCGGATTAGGGGAAGAAACAGGACAGCCAAGTCAAATTCTTCCTACGCATAAGACAGAACGCAGGGCATTAGCGTGTCCCCGTCGAACGCCGTTCGCTCAACTTAAGAGCCTCTCCTTGGGCGACCGAGGCAATCGTTCATCCGGAGAACCTTAGCAGGAGAAAACGGGGGCCCAGATGGACTACAGCTCCCATCCTAGGCTTGGTGCAACAGAGCCGGCTGCAGGCTTAGGGTTTTGGAGGTCGCCAGCTTACGCGAGGGCCGAGAGAGAGAGGTAGCATGTGAGAGAGAGAGAGAGAAGCCCGGCAGCTTCTCCGATCAAGGGTGGAATGTAAGACTCGAGGGCAAAGGCGATTGCACGCGTGAAAGACGGGCCACAGCCTGGGAAGAAATAAAGGAGCTGTTGCACTTCGGCCCGAGAGAGAGAGAGAGGTGAGAGTTAAGGGGACGTCCTGCATTTATTCCTATCAGAGAACGGGATCCTGAGCCAAACCACACCTCTAATTTAGTGCTCTACAGGTGGCCATATTCCTTTCCTATGTTTCTATACCTGTGTGATTCTGGCCAATCAAACTTTCCCCCCTGAAGCAACGGAGGGGTGTGTGTGACTTCAGTGCTTCCCAGCCTCAAAAACGCCACCCCCCCACACACCATAGCAGAGGGCAGCAGGGGCGCTCCTAGCCCTTTCCAACTAGGGGTGCCGCACGGGACTCTTTCTTCTGACCGTCGGAAGGCCTGATACTTACCCGCCTGCCCTCCGACAAATCGCTCTCCCCTCCTTACAATCCCAGCTAACCATTTTCCTATCGAGGGTGTGTCTCCCTGGTACAGTCTGGTCTGTGGTCTGGGAGGGAGGGAGGGGAGGGGGGGTCCGTGATCTGGAAAGTGCAATCCCCACCCCTACAGATAGGTGTCCTCGCTCTCCCGGGAACTAAGGCTCTCCTTGGACTGATGGAGAAGGAAAGAGTCGGGCTCCAGCAAAGTCTGAGATCCGTTTTCTTCGGGGATGGGGCCGTTGGCTTGGTTGCCCACGGCGACGGGCCCTTTGGGGGTGCCCTTCCGCAGCTTGCCCTTGCGGCCCTTGGGGGAGAGGGCGGCGCCGGGGGGCAGGATGATGGAAGGAGAGGGCTCCAAGGCTTTGTGGGGGTACGGCTCAGAATCCCTGATAGCCTTGGCGCCGTGGAAACGGGGAGGAGACTTGCATTGCAGCTCTCCGTGGGTCTCCTTCCACTTCTTCAGCTGGATCAGGTGTTCCCGCTCGATGTGGCGCTCCGTCACTGGCAACTCTATGACCTAGGAGGGACAAAAGAACAGGTGGGCATCCAGGTGTTTTCCCAAACCTGGACAGACACCAGAAGCACCGAGGCCAGCATATAAATAACCTATCCACCCCAAGCTTCCTTCTGCCTCCCAAAAGTTGTCCAGGTCCCCATTCTTCTACGGATGTAGAATCAAAGAATCCTAAGGCTGGAAGGGACCATGGAGATCTTCTAGTCCAACCGGCTGCTCAAGGCAGGTGCCCTTATGTTTTCTGTATCTATGCATTTGGTTGTTTTTTTTAATGAAGACTTAGTTACTCCACCACTAAGTCACTTTCATCAAATCCCAAAGCCTGTGAAGGGGCTACTGCAAAAGATGAAGATACAACACACAACATAGGTGCCTGTCCTAAAGATGCTTTTCCAAAAGGCAACTGGAATGTCTTGGTGTTTTCCTTGAAAATGTTTCGCTTTTCACCCAAGAAGCTTCTTCAGTTCTTTGTGTTCAGAATCCGAATAGAGCTGGAAGGGGCTTTGGAGGTCTTCTAGTCCAGCCCCCTGCTCAAGCAGGAGAACTGTCCTAGACCATTTCAGACAAGTGACTGTCCAGTCTCTTCTTAAAAATCTCCAGTGATGGAGCAACCACAACTTCTGGAGGCAATTTGTTCCACTGGTTAATTGTTCTAATTGTTAGGAAGTTTCTCCTTAATTCCAGGTTGCTTCTTTACTTGATTCGTTTCCGTCCGTCCGTTCTTCTGGTGCTTTCAGGTGCTTTGGAAAATAAGTTATTAGAAAATGAGCTCATATTAGGATCTTCAGGAGATCCTATATCATTCCGGACAAACGGCTGTCCTATCTTCAATACGTCCATTTTTCACAGTTACCACCTTTGCTGCATCCACACAGTCACCTGATCAAAATTCAGACGCTTGGCAACTGATTCGTACTTAACGACGGTCGCAGCGTCCCGGGATCACGTGATCCCCTTCTGCGACCTTCCGACAAGCAAAGTCAATGGGGGGGGGGAAGCTGGATTCGCTTAACGACCGTGTTACCAACTCAACAAGTGCAGTAATTCAGTTAACAACGGTTGGCAAGAAAAGTCGTAAAATGGGGCAAAACTCACTTAAAAAAAAAACACGGCAGAAATTTGGGGGCTCAATTGTGGTCGTACGGCGAGGACCCCCTGTAGGTAACTCCTGGCTTTTTGCACCTGCCATTTACCTGCGTGGGAGGCAGCTGATTTACCGGATTTACCTCTTGAACGAGGAAAGCCTCTTGCATGATTTTGGAATTCAGGGCTCTCAGCTGCTCCATCGTCTCGTACTGCCCTTGGCACCTTCGCAGCTTCTCCGAAGAACCCAGCGTGTACTTCAGGAGCACGAGACCCACGCGGAAGATGATCTTGACGCCTGCGGGAAAGGGAGGAGAAGGCAGCGTTTACATCCAATCCCTTTACTAGCTAGTCCTCGACATTTAGTGACGGTTCAAAGTTACAACGGCACTGGAAAAAAGGGACTTGGGGCTGTTTTTCACGCTGAAAATAGGATCAACCTCTTCTCCAAAGCGCCTGGAGGCAGGACAAGAAGCAACGGATGGAAACTAATCAAGGAGAGAAGCAACCTGGAATTAAGGAGGAATTTCCTAACAGTGAGGACCATTATCCAGTGGAACGGCTTGCCACCAGAAGCTGTGGGTGCTCCATCACTGGAAGTTTTTCAGAAGAGACCGGACAGCCATTTGTCTGAAATGGCATAGGGTTTCCTGCCTGAGCAGGGGGTTGGACTAGAAGACCTCCAAAGTCCCTTCCGGCTCTGTTATTCTGTTACAAACTGCAACTACAAAGCCAGCCACCAGGGGGCAGCCAGGTGGCATGAAGCAACTTCCTGCTTGCTGCTCAAATTGGAACCTCACAGCATGAACATCATCACTGACCTAGATTTGCGACTCCCAGGGATTTGTGTCTGTGTGACCAGCCTGGGCAGAGGGGAAAGCCACAGGGCAGAGGCAGAAAAACCCAGCACTTGCCACAAAGGAAGGCAAAGTCATAAGTCCATGTCAGTTGCCAAGCTTCTGAATTCAGATCACGTGACTGCAAGGAGGCTGAGAGGGCCAGAAGCGCAAGGTCTGGCTAGAAGTCATTTTTTTCAGCACTGCCGTAATTTCAAACAGGGCCGTTAAGTCGAGGACTGCCGGATATCCTGATGGAAAGGCTCATGGGATATCAGGAAGGATTGATGATTCCTCCAAAGAGCAATCCCACTGGGTTGCTCTCATTATGGGCTTTCCGATGCTGTGGCTCCAGTGCGGAATAATAATAATAATAAAGTTGGAAGGGACCTTGGAGGACATGTAGTCCAACCCCCTGCTCAGGCAGGAAACCCTATACCATTTCAGACAAATGGGTGTCCAGTCTGTTTCTTAAAAACTTCCAGTGTTGGAGCATTTCACCGCTTCTGGAATGGCGAGAAGCAATCGCCACCAGAAGTGTCTATCAAATGTGGCCAGCGTGGGTCCATGTCTACACACACACACACACACACACACACACACACACACACAAAGGCCAGCTGCTACACCCGACGGAGCGCGCTCAGTACCTTCGCAGAAGAACATATCCCAGACCCGCAGCACAGAGCTCCAGGGCAGGGTCCTGGAGAAGGCGCACATGAACCACTCCGTCATGTACAAGATGGGGTCGATCTTCTGCTTGCTGAGATGCTTGTAAGCCAGCGGGGAGACTCTCTGCAGCAGGGAGAAGAGGATCTCCCCATCCAACTGGATGGCCTCCTGCGGGGGAGAAGACAGGAGATCTGAGCGGGGGGGGGGCTGGCTCTGCCTCAGCCACAGCCAGCCACTGGTCCACGTTGGCATTCGCTGGCTGTCAGCCTGCCATAAACTGAGCCGGAGGGGAGGGGAAAGTGGAACTAACGAAATCGATCAGAGGCAAAGCTTCAAGGCCGTTACCCTGGGAGAAAAAAGCAAGGCCGTTGCAAAAAACAAAAAAACACCAATTTACTCAAATATAATTGGACAATAAGGGGCCAGGAGAGGAGAAAAACTAGATGGGGAAAGTTAACCGGGAAATTCTGACCCGCAAACTACAGTTCTGGCTTTCTTACACTGTAATCCACTAGGCTTTTAGTAAAAGTCTACCTGTCACTGCAAATGGAGTTGAGGGTCTTTCTTTTCTAAGGAACTATGACACCCCCACCCCCTTGCTACTCCTTCCTTGGGGCCGCATTGTGTCCTCGCTCTCCTGAAACCAGCATGGCAGCAGATCTCCATCAGGGTCTAAAGCAGGGGGGGGGGTCTCCAAACTTGACAACTTTAAGACTTGGGGACTGGTTGGTGGAGAATTCTGGGAGTTGAAGTCCACAAGTCTAAAAGCTGCCGTGTTGGGAGACCCCTGGCCTGGAGGAAACACTCACCAGCTTCTCGCTGTAATAGCCAGGAAGATATTTCTCACATATTTGCACAAGACACCAGAAAGCTTGCTGAAGAGAGAGAAAGAGACAAAAAAATATATTATTAGTCCAATAGGACTGAGTTTGTAGTGGGGAAGGGGGGGAGGAAAGAGAGTACGGGAGGGGAGGAGGAAGAGAGGGGAGGGGAGAGGAGAGAGGAAAGAGGAGGGGAGGAGAGGAGGAAGGAAAGAGAGGGGAGGAGAGAGGAGAGGAGCGAGGAGAGGAGGTAAAGAGGGAAGGAGAGAGGAGGAGAGGAGAGGAGGAAGGAAAGAAGAGAGGAGAGGAGAAAGGAAAGAGGAGAGGGGAGAGGAGAGGAGAGAGGAGAGGAGGAAGGAAAGAGAGGAGAGGGGAGAGGAGAGGAGGAAGGAAGGAAGGAAAGAGAGGAGAGGGGAGAGGAGGGGAGAGGAAAAAGGAAAGAGAGGGGAGGGGAGAGGACAGGACAATAAAGTTAGAAGGAACCTTGGAGGTCTTCTAGTCCAACCCCCTGACTCAAGCAGGATACCCACTCCACCAACTTTTATTTTTACAGCAGGAAATCCAGTCCTGGCTATTTTTACTCTCTGCTGATATCGACTGGATATGACTACCGATTAGCCAAGCCGGAGGAAGCGGCCCCCGGAGAGTGACAGGAAGGACCCAGAGGGAGAAGACACGGGAGGGAGCGTCTGCAAGAGGAACGCCAGCGCACCTCGGCGGGCATGTGCATCAGCAGCACCGCTGCGACCGGGGCCTGCGCCTGGCAATACCCTTCCTCCGGCCGGTACAGAGTGTAGGCTTTCAGGACCCGGAACAGATCTTGTTGCCTGCAGCAGGGGAGAGGGGGGGGGGAAAAAAGAAGGAAATTGTTGACGGGAAATGAGGGAAGATCAGGCAGAAGGAGCTCAAATTGGGAGGAGGTCAGCCTGTCTTCCAGCCTGGCCGTCTGGAAGATGCCTCTTACAAAAGGAGCTTTGATCGGGGCTGTACAAAGCCTCGCTCAGAAGGCAATCTGGAACCGAGGCGTCCATGGGAATCAAATTACGGAACTGCAGGATCAAATGTTCCACACCACATCGATTCCCATCAGTTCAACAATTTCATGGGTTTGCACATGCCTGAACACAATATTTTATTTATTTATTTAAAATTTTCTAAGGTGTGCCCGGCTTAGACAGGGGGACTGCATCAACACACAATGATTCAAGAAGAACAAGAGGAAGGGGAAGAAGGGGAAGAAGGGGAAGAAGGGGAAGAAGAAGAAGAAGAAGAAGAAGAAGAAGAAGAAGAAGAAGAAGAAGAAGAAGAAGAAGAAGAAGAAGAAGAAGAAGAAGAAGAAGAAGAAGAAGAAGAAGAAGAAGAAGAAGAAGAAGAAGAAGAAGAAGAAGAAGAAGAAGAAGAAGAAGAAGAAGAAAGAAGAAGAAGAAGAAGAAGAAGAAGAAGAAGAAAACCACAAAGAAAACCATGTAATGACAAACACACAATGTAAACAAATCTAAAATCCGGAACAAGCAAAGAACAAGAAAACAGAGGGGAAGAGATAACAATTTGAGTCCACAAAGCCAATGCAGACCAAGGCTGCGTTAACAGAGGGATAGAATCGAGATCATCTGAAGCGTTGGTACCACTTTACAAGGCCTTGGTAAGGCCACACTTGGGATACGGCATCCAGTTTTGGTCGCCATGATACAAAAAAGATGCTGAGACTCTAGAAAGAGTGCAGAGAAGAGCAATAAAGATGATTNTCCCAACTCTGTTATTCTGTTAAGCAGCAATTTGAACCAAGACCCTGGGAACCCAATCGCACGCCTTCACGTGGGTTTCTAAAACTGACGCTAAAAGACTTGGTGCCTCCAGTCTTGGAAAGGAGATTAATAACCCCTGACAGGCTGAACAGCCATGAATTTGCATAAGCTGATTTCTAAATCCTTGACTTGCCATTTCCATTCCCCAATTATAAGCTGGGCAAAGCCGTCTCCCTTTTATCTGTCCTGGACTGCCCCCATGTTAGAGGACTCCATCAAGGAAGGAAGGAAGGAAGGAAGGAGGGAGGGAGGGAGGGAGGGAGAGAGAAAGAAAAAAAGAAAGAAAGAAAAAGAGAGAGAGAGAGAGAGAGAGAGAGAGAGAGAGAGAGAGAGAGAGAAAGGAAGGAAGGAAGGAAGGAAGGAAGGAAGACAGCTGTATGTTTGCCACATTATGCCAGACTCCATTGCAGCTTTAACAGATGCCCGCCACGCAGGCAGAAAAATTCTAGGTCCAGCCACAGCCTGTGGCCTCCGGAGCAGGCCACGATGCTAGAGTGGAAAGGAGTATTGTATTTTAAAAAAAGGCAGGGGGTGGACAGAGCCACTTACCCATGGCCCCCCCGAGCAGCAAACATCTCATGGAATGGAAATTGACGGTGGAGATCTCGCTCAATCACATCCAGCCATTTGGGCTCCCCCGCAGCCACGTCCAGCTCCTGTGAATCAAAACAAGTGCTTCATTTATCTACTTATTAAATTTATACGCTGCCCTCCTCGCTGTCACGGGACTCTGGGAGGCTGACAAGGCCAGCAATAACAGTACGAAAGGATCAGAAGATGAAGTTTCCCCTTCTTCTTTCCTTCGCCAAAGGATCTTACATCAAACTTGCCGGCGTTCTGTTCCAGCTTGACTTTGCCCCCCGAGAGGTACTGCCAGGCCCGGCCACGCAGCGAAGGTGGGATCCCCTTTTGGCATCTCAGCCGGATCTGAAAAGGAGAGAAGAGTCGCTGATGAGATGCAAGGCTGAAACACACAAATGCAAAAACATTTTTTTTAAAAAAATGGTAAAAAGCGAATCAGCGTCACGTTTTCCCAATTCTCTTAACAACCCTCTTCCTTTCTTAAAAGAACGGTTGATTAGGAAACAATGGCTGGCTGGCTGGCTGGGGAATTCTGGGAGTTGAAGTCCACATCTTAACGCTGCCTAGGCTGGCCATCCCGGAGACAGAGCAAGGCTGAAGACTCAAGAGAAGTGAATCAGGCACACAGAGGATAGAGGTGGAAGGGGCCAACTTCTTTTGGGACTTACCTTTTTGTGCTTTTTTGCCATCCACTTGTCCCAGTTGTTCAGCATGTCCAGCCATTTTGATTCCCTCTGCCTCAGCACATCCAGCGGCACCTCCTCCAGCCTGGGACACAATTGACAAAAAGTTATGCTCCCTCTAAGAATTCAGAGACTGGCGGGGGTGTGTGTGTGTGTCCATTTTGCTAAGCCAGGATAGAGTTAAACACAGCTTGCTGAAGACGTTGCAAGGGGCTAGGGTCACCCATAGGCAAAAACATACTGGGGGGAGGGGGCTCATTGATGTGTGAACCGCATCAATGGGATTCAATGAATTCAGCCTTGATGTCATGGTTCCGACAGATGAGACTCTTCAAAAGAACTTTGAGGCTTTGTTTACCCTAAAGAATCTTTTATTTGAGTAACATAAGATCGGCACTGCATAATCGAAGCCAAAAACTGAATTCCCCTCCCCTGGGTACATAGTATCCAAGCACAATTCCCTCCTTCAATTAATAGTCATAAATCACATTCCCCAATTAGCTTGAAGCACGGGCTTCCTCTCCAGCTCAATTCCTTATCAGCTCTGGGCTCAGTAACCTTGATTCTCCTGCTAAGTTTAGTGTTGTTATGTCTAGTTCAGGGGTTCTCAACCTTGGCAACTTTAAGACTTGTGGACTTCAACTCCCAGAATTCCTCAGCCAGCTTTGCTGGCTGAGGAATTCTGGGAGTTGAAGTCCACAAGTCTTAAAGTTGCCAAGGTTGAGAACCCCTGGTCTAGTTGGACTCTTATTCACAGCTCCCCCCACTCCCAGCATCACCTAACTCTAAAAGCAAAAGGAAGAAAGATGGCTACATTTCCATCTATTGTCAATGCAAAAACATCTGATGTTAGCAGCGTTGACACTTAAATTGATTTGATTTTTTTAGGCCTGCAATTCCATCAAGAAAATGAGGGTGGACGTATCTCTAACTCAAATGTCATAAACCATCACTAAGAGCCTGCACCTGTTCACATGTAACCAACCTAATACTGCAGCAGGTACTCAAGTCAATGAATTTGATTTTCTTAAACTCAAAATCACACACACACACACACACACACGTTTTATAAAACCATCCTGCCAGGATGTAACCAACTGAACACCTCCAAACTTCAGCGGTCCTGTTAAAGTCTTAATTTAGGGCAGAGGTCCCCAACCTTTTGGGCACCAGGGACCGGTTCCGTGGAGAAAGGTTTTTCCACGGACTGGAGGGTGCGTGGTTTTGTGTGCCGCCTGCATCCCACGGATGGGGCTTTGCTTGTTTGTGCAGGCCGGTTGCTGGCATGTCGTGGCCCGGTAGCGGTCCACAGACTGGGGGTTGAGGACCCCTGATTTAGGGTTACCAGGACAGGGATCTGCCAAGGAATCGATGGGGCAGAAGTTTTGAAAACCCTCCAAGCCAAGCAAATTTTTCTCGCAGCAAGGTTGCCTTCAAATAAGAGTCAGCCCAGGTTTTTGTTTTTTGTTTTCCTCTTCCCAAATATTGCCAAAAAAGGAGGTGAAAAATCTAAAAGCCAGGAATGCTGCCAAACCAGACGGAAATAAGCGTGGGGCAGCCAGGGGTATGCATTCCGTAGATTTCTGCCTTCAGCCCATTCCTGATCAAGGGTGGGGCCAGGATTAGGATGTTGTTTTTCCAATTCGGGGGCTCGGGGGGGGCAGTTCCTGGAAATGCTACGGTACGTCGAAACTGATACTGGAGCGGTAAACAAGGGAGTTTTATCCTGCTCAAACCCTGCCCCGTTGGGAGCAGCTTTGAAGTTTGGGGCTTTCGAAACACGGATTTGGTTTTGCCCAACCGGCGGAATCGCCCTCCGTCTGCCAGCCCTGGGAATTCCTGCTGATGGAAAACGGACACCAAGATCTGAGTCATCTCCTCACCCCACCCAAAACCTCAAAGCCATCTGAAGTCTAAATGGAGAAGTTATACAGGAGGCTTATAGCAGCGGACCGAGGTGTCAGCTCTAGGAAACTGCAGCCTTCTGGTTGGACCACCAAGTCTTCTCGCCAGAGTGGCCCCAAGTGAGGGCTTCTGGGAGAGGTAGTCAGCCGACAGGCAAAGAGCCAAATTTGTCACCACTGTTACGAAGGAAAGCAGAGCAATTTATTCAATGCATCTGAAATCTCCCCTTCCTATAGAATAGAAGTTGTCCTTGACTTGTCCAAATAATAATAATAATAATAATAATAATAATAAGAATAAGAAGAAGAAGAAGAAGAAGAAGAAGAGGAAGAGGAAGAGGAAGAGGAAGAGGAAGAGGAAGAGGAAGAAGAAGAAGAAGAAGAAGAAGAAGAAGAAGAAGAAGAAGAAGAAGAAGAAGAAGAAGAAGAAGAAGAAGAAGAAGAAGAAGAAGAAGAAGAAGAAGAAGAAGAAGAAGAAGAAGAAGAAGAAGAAGAAGAAGAAGAAGAAGAAG